AGAATACAGCAACAAAGGGCTGAAGAAGGCGTCAGGTGCCAGTGCAACCAAAAGGTGTCAAGTGGAGAAAACCAAGTACTGGAGGTCCACCCGATGAGATCACTGATGAGCACCTGGCAGCCACCTTGGAGACATCAGCATGATGCAGCAATTTCCATAGACTGGCATAGGAAAAAATTCCTATAAGAACTGGACTAAAAGGCTATGGAGTCAGAGTCCAAGGTTCTGCTGCCAGCCTACCAGGAGCTTCAGATGCGCATCTGATCAGGACTTCGCTCCCCACTCCCATCACTTGTGTACAGAATACCTGGCCAGTATTCTGTCACAAGCAACTTCCAGGCTGGTAACTATAACAATACACTTATAAAAGGGATAGAGAATAAGACAGAGAATATCTTATTGCCTCTCTATAAAACCATGGTACTGCCCACATCTTGAATACTGCTACAGATGTGGTCACCTCATCTCAAAAAAAGATATATTAGCATTGGAAAAAGTTCAGCAAAGGGCAATAAAATGAGGGGTTTGGAATGGGTCCCATATGAAGAGAGATTAAAAAGATTTTTCAGCTTAGAAAAGAGGAGACTAAGAGGAGACAGGATAGAGGTCTATTAAATCATGACGGGTGTGGAAAAAGTCAATAAGGAAAAGTTATGTACTGGTTCCCATAACGTAAGAACTAAGGGGTCATCCAATGAAATGAAGAGGTAGCAGGTTTAAAACAAAAGGAAGTTTTTCTTCACGCAGCGCACAGTCAACCTGGGGAACTCCATGCCGGAGGATGTGGTGAAGACCAGGACTTTAACAGCGTTCAAGAAAGAGCTAAATAAGTTCATGGCGGTTAGGTCCATCAATGTCTATTAACCGGATTGGTAGGAATGGTGTCCCTAGCCTCTGTTTGTCAGAGCCTGGAAATGGATGACAGGAGAGGGATCATTTGATGATTACCTGTTCTGTTCATTCCTTCTGGGGCACTGGTCACTGTTGGAAGATAGGATACTGGGCTAGATGGGTCTCCTCAACATCCCCTGCCTGTCCCAATCAAGTCTGCAAGGCCTCTTGGCTGGCGACATCTTCCCTCACTGGGCCCTCTGCTCATCACACTTGGCCCCAGTGACACTTGTGCATTTCCATGAGCCCACTTGCCCGCCGTGCTGCCCTTGCAGCTCTCAGGAGAACTCAGGGCCGGGCGCTGACAGGGGCTGTTGGCCTCTCCGGTTGCATGGTGAATTAGCGCGTCTTCTTTCCTTTCATACGCCCTCTTTTAATGGTGCACCCGGCGTGTCCCACGGGAACACACGTTTCTTCCCCCGTGCACCCCTGGCTCTTGGTTTGCCGGACTGTCATGCCAGCTAGATAAGGCTGCCAGTGCTTCATTTGTAATGAAAGACAGACCGGGCCCTGTGGGGTCAGGGCCGTCCCTAGGGGGCCCCGGGGCAACCCCCCACCCAGTGTCCCAGCCCAGGGCATCCTGCCTACAGTCCCCACCCCACCTTCACTCACCCCCATCTGCTCTGCTCCTTCCCCCGAGCGACGCGAGCAGAGAGATTGCTGGGGGTGGGGGAAGCTGCCCTCAAATCCCCTCCATCCCCCGCCCAC